CAACAAAAGAAAAAAATAAGCAAATAAGATTATATGAAACCACAAAGATTCTACACAGTAAAGAAAAGACAACAGAGTGAAGAGACAGCCTACTGAATGGGAGAAAATTCAAACTCCAGTCTAACAAATGACTAATATTCACAATATATAAGGAACTCTACAGCATGAAACCAAGATCATCCAGTTGAATTTGCCAATCACATTCTCCTCTTTGGAGACAAAAATTAGGAAGAGTTCAGGAGACCCTACAAGCAAGGGAAGGGAAACGGAAGGGGAAAAGAGGCTTTAAAAGTCTTGGCTTAGTCTAAGAAAATACACTTGAGGAAAATTAATTTATCCTTCCCATACCTATTGGCAATGACTGCTACAAGCAGACCCAAACATCCATCGGCCCTTCAGACAAAGGCAAAGAATTACTCCCAGCAAAATGAAGCATAGAATTGAAGTATATGGAATATAATGCCTTATCCAGCCTTTCTGCAAGACCATAATTTGGACACTTCTGACTGGCACTAGAGGAAAAAAGAGAAAACATTTGTTTTTTTCAATATCTGAGGAATGAAAGCTAAAACAGAAGAGACTGCCTATAAGAAGACCCTTGAATTGAATTTAAATGTGAGGCTGGCAGTCTAGAGAGGCACCAACAACCAAGTAAATGTTTGGGTGTTACAAATTGTGAAGGGATGAAACAGACACGAAGTTGAGCATCAAGTTCTGAAATGTTCAGCCTAAGAGGATGCCAGTCCAGTCAGAAAATACAACATTGCGGATAACAAAAACATCTTACCTAGGCACTAGAACTTATAAACTCATGAAAATGTTCCTAAGATCTAGGATACATGGAAACTTTGATCCTCGTTAAGAAAAAAAAAGGAGAACTAAATCTTTAGGATGCCAAAAGCCCATTTTTGTGTAAGCAAACTTGAAAATGGTTCTCAAAAGGCAAATTCACCCTCTCACATTCACTGACCCTTAACTATGGGTAGATTTTTCTAAGAAGAAGAAGAAGAGAAAAAAAAAAAAGAATCATTTACTCATGAGTTTCAAAGTATTTCTTACCTGGTGTTCAAATATGTCTACAGAGATGCTAACTAGATAGACTCTTGTTGACAGACATTGGATTTTATCAGCCTTCTAAACCTCCGCTCATCATTTAAAATACTAATTTAATTAATCTCCATTATTAAGCAGATTTTTCAGCTGCCTGAATCTCCTAATACTTCTTTAACTAACTATAAAAAAGAGAAGGGGAAGGAAAGGAAGGAAGGAAAGGAGGGAGGGGGAGGAAGGGAGGGAGAGAGGGAAGGGAGGGGAAGGAAGGAAGGAAAGGAAAGGGAGGGAGGGGAGGGAGAGAAGGGAGGAAGGGGAGGGAAGGGAGGACAGAAGAGAGAGAGGTAAATAGGGAGGGAGGAAGGGAGGGAGGGAGGGAAGGAGGATGGGAAGAACCTGAAAGGAGAGAGGGGAAGAGAGAAAAATAAGAGAGAGGAAAGAAGGGAGAATGGGAAGCAGAGAGAGGGGAAGGGGGAGGAAGAAGGAGGGAGGAAGAGGTTTTCATACAGTTAGTTCAGCAGTCTGGGCTCCTACAACCAATTTCTGCACAAATCTGGCAGATTGATTCGTAAACTGAACTCTCCCAGCTACTTTACAGATACTGTCCTCAAGTTACAACTTAACTTGGTGAGTCCATTGATGGATGAAGACAGCTTAGCCCTGGCTCTAAGACAAGGCCTAGCAGTCTCAGCTTCCCCTTGTCCCTGGAGACCCTTCTACTCTTCAGAGAGTGAGTACAATCTGCCTGCTCATTCAGATGATCAGATGAGCTACCAGTCCACTGCACTGAAGAGCTCAGCCTAGTGGTCCCATATTGGAATCTCTGTTCCAATCCACTGACAGAGAAGGAAGTACCCATATTCTACCCAAGAGAATTTGGCATGTGAACACGCTTAAAGTTATGCTCCTCTAAGCTGTCCACTTTCATTTATACTGGAAATATCTCAGTTAATTCAACCAAATGGATATACAAGGCTTCCTTTCTTTCCTAAGTGGTCCTGTCTTAAAATCAGAACTCTTACAGATAAGCAATTGCATTCAACTTCATAAATACAGTAGGGTGGCACAATTGTTTAACAAATGATAATTGAAAATATTTATCCTCGGGTAGCATGTCTTTGATCCTGTTTTGAACAGAAGTTTGTTGATAAGACTTTGAACAATCTATTGGTGTTGAGATCATACTAGATTCCTATCAGCAGTGATCTGTCTATACTTTTCTGTAGTAAACACTGAAGACCAGTAATGAGCCCTGATTTCCATGACCTATGTTTGAAAAAATATAAAATTAAGTTCTCAATTGCTGCACATGAAAGTATTTGTCTCTATTGGACAGGATACCAGGAAAACTGGACTAATTTCTGTTTTTTATGTTTCAAGGAAGGTCCCCAAATGGCCATCTTAGAATGTGGTCAGGATTGAGTTCTGGGTGATCTTACAAAAGACATTTAACTTCATTCAGTTTCTGTTTTCCCATCTGTGTAGTGGGAAGATGAACAAACTTTAGCACACTGAGCTGCTGTGGACCCAGTTTAAAACAGTGCTTGCAACAATGCTTCAAAACCATAAAGCTGTCAGTATGACATCAAGTCACTGTGTAAGGTAAGGAATATCAAGACCCTTGTCAGCAAAGGTCAGAAAGGCTTTGCACTCCCTGGATCATGCCCTGGAATTTGCTACCTGAATAAGAGAGATCAAAGCGCCCCAATAAGACAGACCAAAGATGCCCTGCATATTTGCAAAGTGTCTCTCTTGCTTTTGCATGGCTATCTTTCACAACTGGTCCACATCTTATTTTTGTATAATCATTTCACCAATCTTCTTTTGAGTCTTATTTGGAATTTCAGTATACTCATCTTTTCTCCTGTTACTATTTTATTCGCCTTACACGGTACTAAAAGTGAGGCAGTAAGATTTTACTGCTCTTTAGCCAAGGTAATAAAGTAAAACTTCATCTCAGTAGGCTGGAAAGATGGTTTTAAAGAGACCTGGGATTCAGCTCACACTTCTTGGTCTTCCACACTAGCCATTCTAATTTTCTTTCTCCCCACATACAGTCACACACACAGACACCCGCTTTCTCATGTGCATACTTCTATTCAAAGACAGGGAAGAAAAAAGAGTAAGATACATTCAAAGTTATTGTTTTAATTTCAGTAGCTATGCTTAAAACTAAATCTGTATTGAGGAGGAAATGAAAAGTCAGTATTACTCAAGTTGTTTTTTCCTTGCCTTAGATGTTTACATGCAGAGTAAAATAAACATTGATGGCTTAAGGTGTGTTTAAACACAGAACAGACACCTCATCTTGGTAGCAGCTGGTTAACTCTTTCAAACAGCAAACCATCAAAATAGATGAGCTATTGTCCCCAGATAATATTATAAACATCAGGCTCCATGTATGCCTTACTACAAACAAGAAATGCAGCTTTTATCAAGTTGGAAGCATTACTCAAAAATGCTTCCTACCAAAAATTGTTATGTGGGGAGTTGCCTGGAAGCTAGTTACCAGTATAGGAAAAGTATTATTCTTTTCAAACCATTAGGGAAGCCCCAAGGGACATGGGATGGGGGAACAGAAAGAGTGTCTAAGAGGGACTTCATACTCGACATTGAACTAAATCTGAATTCTGAGTTCCAGACAGGTTTTCCTGTCTGAGTTTTGAATGAGACTGCATAAAATGATCAGCAAGAAAGTTCTGCCAAGGCATGGGACACAACAGGGCAGTGAGTCATCAAAGGTAAAAATTAGGAATTTCCCTTCACAAATGTACAGTTCTCCTTCTTTGGGGCCCAGGAGAAGTTGACTGAGGCTTACCTAGCTAGGGAAGAAAAGAAAACCTTATCACAGACCTACCAACCCCTCTTAGTATCTTGATATAGGACACTTGGCCCATCCTTTCCCTCTCTGGTGTGGCTGCAGGGAGACCACATCTCTTGCTACAGACAGGACAAACCTTGTCTCAGTTTACAAAGGACACTACCAAGTTGGCCTTCTACAAAACCCAGTAACCTTCCCAAGTTAATATGAGTCCATCCTGAGCTGGCAAGTCTCAACCTCAACCCAAGAGAGCCAGAGCCTAGGATAGGGAATCCCCAAAGCACTGACTGGACGCCCTGGGACACGGCGTTCACGTGGTCTCCGCCAGCTGAGCGGTGCGGGGCTCAGACCTCAGGCTACCAGAGAGAAGTGAGGGACTGTGAGGAGAGACACTTGGAGGTGCCCAGCACCTGAAAGCCAGTGAAGGACCACAGCGCTCAGGAGACCGGGAGGGCCAGGCCACCGGGTTTCAGACAGTGCCAGTCGCTCTGATGTTCCAGGGTGTTCTCAGGAAGACACAAGTTTGCATGGGGTAGCAACTTGGGGGCAAAAAATTAAGTTTTCTTTTAAATGGGAAAAGCATTAGAATCTTATCTAAAGCTGAGTTCTTCTAAGGTTGTCACAAAGCCCTTCTGGCCTGAGGCTCACCCTGGAAAATCTGGCGAAAGGAGGCGTGAAGGTGTCCCGAGGTAGTGATGCCATCCCCACCCACCTTTGGAGAACTCTGCCCACTGGGTCTTGAACTGCCTAGAGAACCGCGCACTGGAACAGAGGAGGTCTTGTCCCCTTCAGTTGCACTGAGCCTGCTGCGTGCTGGCATTTAAAACCCACAGCAGCCAGCTGTGTTTATGACTTGTTTCGTTTTGCTGAGGGAGGGAGGAGGATCAGAAACTCCTGCACGGTTTCCTTAAACTCGGAGACCAGAGCTTGGCATCGGATTCTAGTAGCAACAGAACTCCAGTGAACTTGGGGGTGGGGAGAGGAAGGAAAGGAGGTGGGGAGGAGGGGCGGCGGCGGAGGGGCTGGCGAGGGTGGGGAGGAAACAGGTGAGCTCCCACCGCCACCCTTTGGAGATTCAGTACGACAGTCCCTGGCGCACGCCACCGTCCCAACTTGGACAGTCACTTACCGGCTTTGCACGGGTCCTTGTAATCTATAGTCTCCGTTTTATCTTCTTCGTTCCCATCCAAAGTGTAATCGTAATCGAGGCCAGCGTAGACCCGCAGCTCCCGGGAGAAAACAATCCCGGAGACCGCCAGCCACAGCAGCATCCTCGGGGAGAGCCTTTGCAAACCCATCCTTCTCCCCCGGAGGAAAAGGGGGGAACCGGACCCGGAGGGCCGAGAGGATGTGTGGGGCTAAAGGGACTGGTGCGCCTCTCCTCCCTGGGACGTTCCTCCGCCAGACCTGGGTGCTCAGGTGTCCCGAGACATGCGGGTGCCCTGGGGACCGTGGAGAGGGCCAGCACCGCCTGGCACCCCCAGGTGCAGGGGGAGTTGGCTGGGGGCCCAGGGATCGGCGGAGGGCAGGTGAGGAGCTTGGCCCTGGGGCAGCTGCACCAACTGGGCTCGGCGGCGCCGGGGCTCGCAGCTTTTGCCGGGTTGTCCTTCCAGCGGCCGAAACTTCGCGGCCGCAGCCGGGGAGACGCGCCCCGCCGGCTCAGAAGCCACCCGAGCTCCGGCTCCCGCGCCGCGCCCCGGCCGCTGTCAGGACCCGGCGGCCGAGCGCGAGCCGCCGCCGCCTGCGCCCGCCGCCGCCGCTCGGGGAAGATGAATCCGGTCTGCACATCAGCACATCTCAGCTGAAAGGGGAGACCGAGGAAGGGGGTGGGGGGCAGGCATGTGTGCGCCGCGAGACCTTAAGAGCCTGCAAAGCCAGAGAAGCTCCTGACTGCAAGGAGAGCCAGAGTCTGAGGATTTCGAGATGTCTCGGCCTCTTCTCTCCTCCAGGCTGTCTTTTTACCCTCTTCCTAACTTGAAAAAAAAAAAAAAAAATCTTCGCAGCATCTAACCCAATCACTTGCATCCTGCTTACTTATTCATACAATCAGGGTCAGGATCCGGGCCACAGCCTCCTCTCTGACTTCGTTTGATAGCCTTATACAAACAAACAGACACGAGTCCGCTGACATCTCCATTTCTATTTTACTAAAGATAAAAATGAATGTATTCCGTATCTGCGTCCACGACCAGCAATTAATAGATGATGTATGTGTCGGTGGAGAGTGCCAGACCGGGGGTGGCGCGAGGGATCGTGACAACTTCACTGCACGCTCCCCCCCGCCCCCAGATAAACAGCTAGTGTGTGTTTCTTTCCCTTGCTGCTGTTTAACCTTTCTGCAGCTCAAGAGTGAATGAAAAGTGCCTGACCCTTCGTCATTTAGGTAAAATACACGACTGTTAAAAGTCTCCTAACCAACAAAGTTTTGCTGAAAACTAAGACACAGAACTGCAATTTAAAAAAAATCCGTAATCGAGTTACAGATTATACCAGCAGGAAACGCTAAGACCTTGCTGATGGGCTGGCGCTGTGGCTCACGTGGCGCAAGAAGGGAAGTTGGAAGGAATACTCGGGAAGCAAATTTTCTGTGAGTTCTGGCGCCCATACCCAGGACCACTCAGTACCCTTCAGCTTCTACGTCTTTCCTAGACAGTGTGTAAAAGCCAAGCCCGCAGCTGGATCTGAGCAAGGTAAACCACACGTCAGCCCAGCAAACTCAAGGCAAACACAGGTTATGGGAAACTGGGGAGGGGAAAAAAAATCAGAGGAAATCTCTGCAAAAACCCCTGGTGTGAGCAATTCCGAGGTTTCCCCAGACATCTGCAAGTACTTTCCAAAATAGGTAAGGCGACTCCCCCCCCCCCCACAC